TTGAACCACCAGCCTTCTGGTTAGCAGCAAGTGCCTTAGGCATTATGCTACCAGAGCTCCCCATTCAACTTGTATGCTGAGCAAATAATCTGAAAAGCTGGATTATATGAAGAAGAACATGGCATCAGGATTGGAGGAAGACTCATTAACAACCTGCGATACGCAGATGACACAACTTTGCTTGTTGAAAGTTAGGATGACTTGAAGCACTTACTAATGAAGATTAAAGACTACATTCTGCAGTGTGGATTACACCTCAATATAAAGAAAACAAAAATCCTCACAACTGGTCCAATAAACAGCTTCATGGTGGATGGAGAAAAGATTAAAGTTGTCAAGGACTTCATATTACTTGGTTCTACAATCAATACCAAGAGAAGCAGTAGTCAAGACATCAGATGACACATTGCATTGGGCAAATCTGCTGCAAAAGACCTCTTTCAAGTGATGAAGAGCAAAGATGTGTCTTTGAAGACTAACATGTATCTAACCCAAGTCATGATATTTTCCATCACCTCTTATGCATGTGAGAACCAGACAATGAATAAGGAAGACTGAAGCAGAGTTGATGCTTTTGAGTTCTGGTGTTGGAGAAGAAGGCTAAGAGTACCATGGTCTGCTAAAAGGACTAACAAATCTGTCCTGGAAGAAATGCAGCTGGAATGCTCCTTGGAAGCGAGAATGGCTAGACTTCATCTCACTTACTTTGGCCATGTTGTCAGAAGGAACCATTCCCTGGAGTAGGATATCATGCTTGATGAAGTGGAGGGTCAACGAAGAAGGGGAAGGCCCTCAGTGAGATGGATAGACAAAGTGGCTGCAATGATGGGCTCAGGTATAACAAGGATCATGAGGCTGGCACAAGACCGGGCAGTGTTTTGTTCTGCTGTGCACAGCGTCACTATGAGTCAGAGATGACTTGGCAGCACCTAACAACAACAACATGTCCTATATACACCATGACATGATTTCATTATAGTTAATAATTTACCTATTGACCTCACTAGACTGTAAGCTCCTTAAGGGTAGGAAACAGTCCTTCATTTTTGTGTTCCCAGCTCCCAGCACTTTTTGACACATACTAGGACATATTCATAAATATTTGTTGAATGAATGCATAAACAAATGGATGAATGAATATACAGAGCTAAAGGAAATATGCTACAATTGAGGTATGGAATGTTGTGAGAGATTAGAGGTAAGAAAAATTAATATTTAACAAGGAGACTGTTGAAATGCCCCATGGAACAATTGGAATATGAAATATAAACATGTGGACAACAGAAAGAAGGGCACGTCAGCAGAGACAATAACATGTACAAAGCTAAGGTAATGGGAAAGCTCAGAATTTTTAAAAACATGAAAGAACAGAGTGCAACAGGTCTGAGAGTATGGAAAGTAAAATAATGAAGATGAGGACCTTCCACTTCTGGCACAGGGACCAGATTTACCCTCCCACCCGCAACAACAACAAAGCCATAAAATATATATGAAACTATGGGAGCTCTGGTGGCATAGTGCCTAAGGCACTTGACTGCTAACCAGAAGATTGGTGGTTCAAACCCACCAGCCACTTCTTGGAAGAAAATTGGGCAATCTACTTCCATAGTGATACCAACTCGGAAACCCAAGGAGGGGTCGCTATGAGTTGAATAGGACTTGACAGCACATAACAACAACAACATGGTTTGCAAGACATTAAACATCAGGTAACAAAAGACAGTGATCTCTCAGAGATGAGAAATAACAGGAGATGTCACAAAACTGCCCCAGCCCACTTCATTGAGTTTCCAGGCCATGGTGCAGGGAGGAGGAACTTAGGAATCTAGTGGGCTCTCTGAAGTGAGGAGAGAGTTGAGAGTTCAGGGAAACCAAGAAAGTTGGAGTTCACAGCACTAAATACCAGAGAGGAGAGAGTTGCACAGAGAATGCCAGAGGTTTACAGAGGGTCCCCCTCAAATATTCAGCAGAGTACTGACCAGTGCAAGAATGGGAAGAAATTACCCACAGGCAGGGAAGAACCAACTGAAAGGACTAGAGGGAGCAGTACCAGTGCTCCCACAGGACCAGGAATAGTGCCTATTCCCACCTGGAACATCTAAAGATTCATGGGGCATTGGTACAGTACACAGAAGATCTTGTTTTAGTAGTGGGGAGTAATTAGTCCTAGACTGAGCATCTTTGGTTCAACAAACCTTAAAAAAAAAGGCTTCAAAAGTACCAAATTGCTTTCATATAATCTGACTGCATCCTAAGAGTGCTTACAGGGTTTTACCAACAAGGTAAAATCTACAGTGTATAGAAGCTACTCAAAGATTACCAAGTATGCAGAGAGCAAGGAAAACATGACCCATAATGAAGAAATAAATCCAAAATTGAAACGGATGTTTGACTTAGCAGACAAGGACATTAAGGTAGTATTATAACTGCATTCCATATGTTCAGAAGATTAAGTAGAGGCACAGAAGGTATTTTACAAAAAGGACTTAGAGATGAAAATTATAATGTATGAGATGAAAAATACACTAGATAGCATTAATAGCATTAGATATTGCAGGGGAAAAGATTAGACACAGCAATAGAAACTCAGAGAGTAAAGAGAATGAAAAAATTGAACAGAGTAGTAGTGAACTGTGGGACAACTTCAAGCAGCCTATGTTTAATGAGAGTTCCAGAAGGTGGGGCAATGAGACACAGAAAAAGAAATACTTGAAGAAACAATAGCCAAAAATTTTTCAAATTTGATGAAAGTAATAAGCCCACAGATTGAAGAAATTAAAATAACTCCAAGAACCAGAAACATGAAGAAATTTACCCAAAGCACATAATAATCAAACGGCACCAAATCAGTGACAAACAGGAAATGTTAAAGGTAGCCAAGGGAAAAAAAATCAGTATGTTCAGAAAAACAAAGATAAGGATGACATAAGATTTGTCGTCAGAAACAATGTAAGCAAGAAGACAGTGGAGCAACATCTTTGTGGTACTGAAAACAAAAACAAAACAAAACAAAAAAACTGTGAGCCTAGAATTCTATATCCGTAAAAGTATCTTCCCAACATGAAAGCAGGACAAGGATTTTTTCAGCTTTGCAAAATCACCAGTAGATTGAATCCACAAGAAACATTAAAGGAAGTCCTTCAGGCAAAAAGAAAATGATGCCACCCAGAAATGTAATTTGAACTTTTGCATACTGACCCTCCATCTGCCAGTCAAAAGTTCAATTTTGGCAATAACCACTATGGCTTATAAAGCAGCCTTTGCACAATTATTTGTAAGTACAAAGAATTGAGCAATTTGATTCAGCCCAGATTTAAGACAAGCAGAGAGATGAACATAATTTGCCTGTCTAGCAGCATTTTGTGTTTTACTGTGTAGAAAGATGAGAGGAAAATGGAAAAATTAAACTGCTGATGTAAGTGATGGAATGCACACTACCCCTAAACCTTATAAACCAGAGTCAAAGATGGAAAGCATCATGCATGTCAAAATAGGTCAGTTAATTGTGTTCAATTATAAATTGAATTTTAATTTTTATGCATTTTAATGACTACATCCAAACGACTGGAAATATAGTATCAAAGATTATATATAATGGCATGAAGTAATTAAAGATAATATATTGTTTTTCACTTTCAGGGAAAGGAACTCCCTGCCACCAATTCCCTTGTCCTGTTGAGGCACTTAAGTCTGTTGCTTAACTTGCACTACTTGACTTGCGTGTGTGTGTGTGTGCGTGTGTGTTTTTTGCTACTACCCTTTGGTCAGTATGTCATACTATAGTAACTTGTGTACTGCTATGATATGAGAAGCTATTATGCCATTGGTATTTCAGATATGAGCAGGAAAGGCCTGGTCATCTACTTCAGAAAATTAGCCAATGAAAACTCTATGGATCACAACAGAACATTATCTGACATAATGCTAGAAGCTGAGTCCCTTACATTGGAAGGCACCTAAAATACACAGTGACCTCAACAATGGACTTTGAGCATACCAAAGATCAAGAAGACAGCCCAGTACTGAGCAATATTTTGTTCTGTTAAAAAGCATACAGTCAAGAATGAATGTTTGTGGTCAATGAGTGTGCCCTAAAAATTCAAGAAATCTATTTTAAAAGGCCAACACCAGAATTGAAGAACATTCAAGACTTTAGTATGACTTAATTTTTCTTTGATTTTTTTTTTTGTATTCTCTCCTTCTGCAATTACCTGTGATTTCTGGTGTTTCCTCTCAAAGTCTAGTTCCTGGAAGGAGAAATCTGGCTCCTGTAGTTTATTTGGGTCCACATTAGATTTTTGCTCCAGAGGAAACTGGTTGAGTCTCATTGTGTGGAGCACATCATAGCTTGGTCTGTTCTCATAGTCAATGTCAAACTGTTTCAAGATGAACTCTTCATCAATATGTGAACTTCCCTGGAATAATATCACATCTCATGAGTCAAGGTCAAATGGTGACATGATCCTTATTTTCTGTTTTAATCTAACAGCAGTAACTGACCATTGCTTAAGAAGTGGTAGTTTGGAGGAGATGTACAAAATGCTCAGTTGGTATTCATCAGACACAAGAAGGATTTGGGGTCTGGAGGGCCTTATCAGTGCATCAAAAGACAGCTTAGGAGGAGTTCAGGGCAAGATGGTGGACTAGGTACAAGGACTGCACAGATGCTCTTCAACAAAGAAAAGGGAAACCAATTAACACAGACACAGAAGATAATCTTGGACCCCTGAGCCTTGAAGGGAAGGATACAAAAGTGGAATAAA